TGCTCATTTATCAGCCTCAAAACGAAGAAGGGCCGGTGACCATACAGGGGGTGCCTGTCCGGAACCTCTCGGTTCTGAGTTCATTACTCTACCGGCTGAGCGATCCCAATTTTGACAAACAACAAATGTATTGCCCACCGCGGGCAGAGTCAACGTTAGCCTCTAGTTGGTTGCAAACTTTCAAGTTGTCTTTTCTTCTGCGCTGCTTGATCGGTTTCCGTAAGAGGAAAGCTCATTAGAACTGGCACTCTCTTAATGTTTTAGACAGCTCGTTCCCTCCGGTTGTTTTCAGAGGATGATCGTTCGTTTCTTGATGATGCCACCGAGTCCTAAGAATGTGGCACAGCCTTTGCTTGTTTAGGTAGTTCAGCTTTTATTACTGGTGCTTTAAAACCTGTTATAGCTGAACCTTGGAATTTTTCTAAGCGTCTTTTGAGTAACCATGAAAATAAAGTCTACAGCCGGTGGCTTTGCATACCTGTGATATGCTTACTTGATTATGCCAAGATTATATGCACTGAATTTGCATTTTATTTGGACATTGCTTCCTTGGATTTTGAAAAGCTGCTAGTTACCTAGTAAACATCATGAGCTTTTCTTCTACGTTGCTTTGCACGACTTTTTGTGGCACGCATTGGTGTAATCTTTGCCCTTGAGACAGATTGTTCATAAAAGCGCATGTTTGTGGAGGCGTTGCATATGTCAGACTTACAGAGAAAGACTTGTCTACTTGTGTTCTGCTGGACATCACAAAATAGAACAAAACGAAGCGGATCTCCCAGCGTCACCCACTGATCTCGGACCAGGAGATGAGCGATCCTCCGTTGTTTTCAGTGACTGCGGTTCGTTGGTGCAACTTAGGTTTAGCACGATTTGGTATAACAAAGGTGCTGAATGAAAATCGAGGATCACTGCATTTCCAATAACCAAATCGAATGAAGTTTCAGAAGGCGAGAGCTGCTGGTATGGGCTTATGAGCTGAAGCAAATATCAGCTTATAAAAAGTGCGAAACAACCTAAAGCGTGGCGTCGAATCATATCAAACGAGTCCGTGAAAGTTAAAGGCCGCCTTACTGAAAAGTCGTATCACTTATGATTAATCATTTTCTTGTCTTTATCGTTATCATATTTTTATTATGATGATTATCATCACTGTCTGCATGTGGTTGTTTTAGTCACATTCATTTTTGTCGCTGCAGTATCGTCATTATTGTCGTTATTACCATCATCGTGGTCATCATAATCACAATAGGTCATTGTCTTCTTGTTCGGAGAATAGGTCAGCGCGATCAACCAGATGTGAATGCCTGTCGAACAGCACAGTAAAGTTTCTTCGGGGGGGGGGCGACAGTCAAACTGAAGGAATTATTTGTTTGTATAGTAAAGACGTTCGAATTACGACGCGTACAAGAGTTAACTGAAAGTAGCATTTAGATAAAGTACCAAGTCAGACGCATGCTCATGTTTGGTTCTATGGAAAAACAGCATAGAAGGCTCTATTGTAGAGCTATTGTAGAAGTTTTTCCTTCAATGAGTCAGTTGTACTAAGTGAGTCTAGTTAGTTTGGTTTTGTAAAACAAAATGAAAACGGAAAAGGATGAAATTCATGAATTGCTGAGACAAGACAAGAATAGCAAGAACGCTGCAAACAAGAAATGAAACAGATGGACAGTATAAAAGGCGACGAAGAGTAGAAACTAGACAGGGTGAAAACTGCGGAGGAAAAGAGGTAGAAAATGAAAGTGAAAAAGCAGAAGCAAAAGAATAGGCTTTTGCAGTAGAACGTAATATGTTTTAAACCGATTGCAGTAGCTGATTTACACTAATATTATTGTATGGAGTGAGTCATACGAGTTGTTACACCAACTTGCATGGCAAAATGTCACCGGATTCTTGCTTATAGAGGCTTAGAAGACATTTAAGCAGGTCATAATTCGTTGGTATTTGAGCACCTGCGATGTGATTGATCCACGCCAGGATGACAGTTTTGGTTAAAACATTATTTTTTGTGGCACCAGCAGCGAATTTGTGGTGTGAGCATCTGGCATGCTCATGGTATAGATGGGAATCTCTTTAATCTGGTGTTCCTGTATTCGTTTGTTTTGTAAAAAGGCAGGAAGAAGATAGGAGAGATGACGGGTTGGAAAGTTTGTAATTTCTAGAATGTTTATCTTCTTTACACTTACATGATAGAGTCAGTAGTAGCATCCTTGTTTTCATGAAGTTAATGGTGGAGGCACTTATTTTCATTTCTGTCCTATCTGCCAGGAGTGTCTTATTTTAAAGTCAGAATCTACCCAGCTATGTAACAGACATATTGTGTATTCTCTCGATTCCTTTTCATTCATGCATCACTATCAGAAGGAAGAAGGGCCTTTGACCTCGACCAAATTTCTCTGTTGTAAGTACGACACTCTACCGACTGAGCAACCTCGTCTAAAGCAACGTGTGGTAAATTTCATTCGAGGTTGAACAAAGACGGCCATTGGTGGGAGTCGAACCCGGCACTTCCGAAGTGTAGTCACGTGGTATTCACCAAAGAAAGATATATCTTGTTTCGTCGATAATATGTTCGGCAATAGGCATTAAATAACATGCGGATAGACCATGCATTGAAAACTATTTCTATGACAGCAGTAAGTGTGGTCAGCTTAGCTGCATCCTATAATAAGATTACGTCGCTAACGGTGCCTAAAATTCTACAGTAAGAGGATGAGGATCTAAAAGATTTATCGCAGGAATGCTGAGGCGGAGAAGTTCGACAAGGCTCAGAAATGGTGCAATCCGAGGTGCACGCCTGGGCGTCATACAGCTATGATTGAATTTCTCATGTAGCATCTATATGCCATTACGGACTGCTAAATAACATCGCCGTTGCCGGTCCCAAGCCCGTTTGAGAAAGGAGGAAGGTTGGAAACCGTGGCAAAGTCTCTGTAAAATTTAGCCATCTGCCACTCATGGTATTGACGCCATTGAAAATCATGCCGGTTCGGTCGTCGCACGGGTTTCCAAGGGCCGCGCAGGCTGTTGGGGTATTGAGGCGGCCTGCGACATCTTGTTTTCACTAGTGCGTAACGACAAGCTATGCAACGCTTGAAATACAACTTTGTTAATAT